TGGGATCATTAGTTAGGCCCCTTTTCACCCTCATATAGTTAGTAAGCAACTTCCCATGGAGCATAGTCCATAGAAAGATCTTCAATTTCTAAGGAAGTCTAAGTTTCCATATCCAATTCCAGTCTTCCTCTATTTCATCTATACCTTGTACATACTCATATAAAGATGAAATAGAGAAAGCACCATCAGGAGTACCCTTCCACGTAGGAATGTCCATATTAGAAGCATTAGGAGAGGACTGACCCAAAATGAGCTCAGAAATGGGAGTTAGAAAAATAATTTTAATCTCATTCTCATCTCAATTTCCATCCTCCCCCAGTAAGTCTTTCACATGTAACCCACTTTAACTCATTATTATGCATGTTCAGATTTTGGTGTGGAACAAATTCCTCAAAAGCTTTGTCTTCACACCACCAATCCTTCCATACATCCACAGTCGCACCATCACCAACTTTCCATTTTACCTCTTTCCTGAGAGTGCTTTTGGTACTCATTTCCTTCCTTTCTTCCACCCTTGAAGGGATGTGTTCTTTAAGTACTTATTTCTAAGTACCTCACACCACATACCTTCCTTATTACTAACCAGATTCCAGCCCAACTTTGTAAGCAAGGCTAAGTTTTGGTCTCTGGCCTTTTTAATTCCCAGACCCCCTTGCTTTTTCACTTTACACACAACATTCTTGTTAACAAGATGGATTTTTTTCTTATTCAGGGTGTCACCCAGAGAAAGTCCCTATTTATTTTATCAATCTCATTGCTAACTATCTTAGGGATTAGCATAGTTTGCATGGTATAAGAGGGGATTTGCTCTACCAACTATGAATAAGACATTAGTTTTCCAACCAACTAATCTCTTCTGCTTTCTCTCTATAATATCGTTAAAGTGTCTTCTGCTAACTCTGCCATGAATTAGGGGAACACCTAAGTATTTCCCTAAAGCATTGGTTAGTGAGATACCACACATAGAGCTCAAATCTCTAGCTTTGCTCCTGTCAAGGTTAGGAGACACATATAGTTTGGACTTGCTGAGATTAATTTTCAACCCAGAGATATCACAAAATTCCTCCATCACTCTCATGACAGTGCTACAAATAGACATGGTGGCTTGACCAAATAGCATGATGTCATCAGCAAAGAATAAGTGTGTAATATTAAGACCTCCTCTGCTAGCCTCAATACCTTTCCATTGTTTGTTATCAACTTTGAGGCTAGTCGTATTAGAAAGTCTCTTCATGCATAAAACAAACAGGTAAGGAGAGGATCTCCCTATCTCAAGCCCTTCTGAGGTTTAAACTCCTCCAGAGACTCACCATCCCAGATAATAGCAGTACTGACACTAGTGACACAACTCATAATAAGATCAACCAGATTTTTGTCAAAATTAAATTCTTCCAGTATTTGTTTTAAAAAATCCAAGGAAATATTGTCATACGCCTTTTCCAAATCAATTTTAAAAATCATGCCCCATTTCTTACCTCTCTTATGACTCAAGGAATGAATGATCTCTTGAGAAATAAAAATGTTATCACAAGTGTTGCGGCCTAGGATGAAACTGCTTTGGTCTCACAATTTTACTTAAAAAATGTCTAATTCTACTCGCAATAATCTTGGAGACAATTTTATAGGACACATTGCAAAGGCTTATAGGTCTAAAATGCTTGATGCTCTCAGGGTTTTCAATTTTTGGAATTAGAGCAATCAAAGTTTTGTTGACTTCAGGAGGAATTTGTTTTTCAAAAAAACAATTTTTTACAAAATCACAAACATCAGGCCCAATAATATCCCAATAGGTATGATAAAACAAGGCTTAAAATCCATTCCTCCTAGGGGCTTTAATGGCATTGATGTGTTTCACATCCTTCCAAATCTCCTCATTACATAAATTGTCCTCATGGTTGATCTTACATCTCACCAAGTTGTTCCACTGATCAAGAGAGACAGTTTGAGAATCATTATAAAGTGATGAGTCTTTTTAGTTGATCAGTCTGGTCAATCCAAGAACCATTCTCATCTTTAAGCATCTCAATGCTCCTTCTCCTCCTTTTATTCAACCCCAAATTTTTTTTCCCCTTAGTATTCTTCTTTCCCTCAGCCAAAACCCTGGCTCATTGATGGCATGTAGAGTTAGGGCAGTTGGAGTCTGTAACCACTATAATAGTTTGTGTCTTCAGTTCACATGTAGCTCTGCTCTGCCTAATGAAAATAAATAGGAATAGCTTCATCTAAAATTGGAACCCCAGTTAAGTGAATCACTCTACCCACAATATTTCACCCCAAAAAAAACAAAACAGCATGGTCCATAGAACTGTGATTTTACTAGCAAAGGGCAAAAAATTACCATATCCAAACTTTCCAATAATACATAAAATTAATCAGACACTAAACAAAATTAGGCTTTGACATTTTGGTTGTTCACATGCGTCTGCTTATAAACGAAAGTAGTAAAAAAAACTGCAAACCCATAAAAATACCAAGCATAGCAAACAAGCAAGCCAAAGTCTTAATCATTTCGAAAACAACTGGATTAAGCAAAGCCCTCAAATCACCAATAGATGAACATGGATTAAACCGATAATATACGAAGGCAATAATAAAAGCCCTAAATTGGAAAAGAAGATTGAGTAAAAGTATATCAGCATAAGACCTGAATCTTGGCTTTAACATTATCGATGGTGTCGCTGGACTCGACTTCGAGAGTGATCGTTTTCCCAGTTAGGGTTTTAACAAAGATCTGCATGTTGTTTCTCACAGACACAATTAATTGACTAAAGAAAATGAGAGAGAGAGAGAGAGAGAGAGAGAGAGAGAGATGGATATCAACAACAATGCTGTGGAATGGTAATATATTTGGTGGTGGCGCAGAGCATTGGAATCTTGGTTTAGGATTGGAGTGGGAGAAGACGGAGGACCCCACAATTATTCCCGATTCGCAATGACAAATAATTTGGGGTAAATTATGCTAAATTTTCTTCAAAATTTTTAAAATATATATTTAATTTTAAAAGTTTGACATAATAATTTTATGTCTCTTTTTTATTAATATTTATTATATTAATAAAATAATATTATTATTACATCTCAAATATATATTTACCAATGATTACTTTTTTTTATTTTTCGACTATCTGTACTAATTTTAATAGTTTTATAATGTTAATATAATTATATAAAATTTATGAGATTTATTATTGATTTTTATTAAATTTTAGAAATAATAAGTGCAATTTATTCAACAATTTAAAAGGTTTCATTAAACAAAATTAAAAGAGTAAATTTCCTAAATTACATTTTCAGCTCCTAAAATATGACATTTTTTCCATGCTTTAAATAAATAATTTTATCACTTGGGTTCCTTAATTTTTTTAAAGAATTAGTAGAGTCTAAATTACTTAGGTGGGCTTGGAGTGGGCCCACTAAACTCGACCTATACTAGTCATTCCCAAAGAAAAAATTAAATTGATAATTCTAAGAATATAAATGTATTCTTCAGAATGAAACACATATACAAGACAAAGGTGAGTCTCACACTGTGTTCTTGGGAGGTTAGCAAGTCAACTCTTATTAAAAATTTATAATTTTCTCTCATATAATGAGGACTGAATTATTTATATCTCCCAATAAGTTTAAAACATACAGAGAACCAAACACATGTTTCGCAATAGGTAGGACTCACATGACAACGGATTCACATTTTGTGAGACATTCTTATCTCTATGTTTATAAAATTGCTATTATATCATTCCACTATTTTGTATTGATTGTTGTGCGGTTGAAAATAATTGTTCACAAATCTATAGTCTGATTGTATAATAAAAAATCTAAAAGATAGCTTGCGGTACGTTTAGTTTTAAAGTTTGTTAATAGAAATATACTTTATAACTTGAAATTTCCGAGCTTGAAATTGGTCCGAATCTAAAACGACGTTGTTTTGGATTTATTTTTTTTTCTTTCCTCTTTTATATTTGAAACATAGGGAGAGAGAAGAGAGAGAGAGAGAGGAGAAGGAGAAAAGATGGAGAGGAGGAGGAGGAGAAGAAGAAGACGGTGATGGCGGAAGAGGAAGAGAAGGAAGATTGACGGTGATGGCGGCGTCTCTCTCTCTCTGCCACTGGTGGCGCCGATGGGTATCACTATCCAGATCATGTTTGATTGTTGTTGTTGATGATGATGTGTTGTTGTTGATGTTGATACTCTCAAGCACAGATCATGTTTGATTTTATTTTTTTTTTCCTCTCTATCTCTTTTTCTTGGTTCTGAGTTATGGAAGAAGCAAAGAAAAAAAAAAACGAAGGAAGAACAGATAGAGGATACAGAGGAAGAAGAAAAGTGGGGGGGAAAAAAATTCAAAACGACGTCGTTTTGAATTCGGGCCAATTTCGAATTTAGAAATTTCGAATTAACTATTTTTAATGATAGCTTTTTAACATAAGCAAATTTGACTCATTTGAAATTTTTAAGGCCTTATGTTGAGTAACAGAATTAAAAGCAAATGCATTAATAATCTCATAACCATTTATTATATATATATATATATTTAAAATTATGATTCTCAGCTTCTCTCAATATTAAAAATTTTTAATTTTGTTGGATTAAATGTCTACTGTATAAATAATTTAATTACTAAAATTTACAATCAAGTATAAGATTGTGAATCAATAAACTAACCATTTCAATCCTATACTATATCCCCGTAATCAAAGATGCAGGGAAAATTGGTACTAAAAAATTTTTGTTTAACGCAGTAGAATTTTTCGGTCAATTGACTTTAATTTCTACCAAATGAAATCCAATGGTTGTATATTTATTATAAAAAAAAATAAAAAAAATACGTACCATAAGCAATTTAAAACTAATTTAAGTTTGGGAGACTTATATGTAAATTTTAGGGTATGGCTAGACTGGACCGTGTTGTTGGGCCCGTGGAGGCTCACCACGGGTCCCGTTTTGATAATTTGAACCATCAATGTGTAGAACTCGTCGAGTACTATATGCCTGTAAAAAATCACGTTGATCGGATATCGATAGCTATATGATCAAATCAGTTTCGTATTAAAAAATTGGACGGTGAACAAATTAAGGGTTGACAAAAAACTGTTTTGATCACATAGTTATCGATATCCGATTAATGTGATTTTTTACACACATATAGTACTCGACGATTTCTACACATTGAACGGTTCAGATTATCAAAACGGGACCCATGGTGGGCCCTCACGGGCCCAACAGTACGGTCCAGTCCGATCCCGGATTGGACAGAAGCCGTACCCTAAATTTTAATAGGTCTTATGATAATTAATAATATTTTTTATCATTATTATTAAAAAGGTTATTAATTGTTAATTTTTAATGATAATTTGAAAATTTTGTTACAAAAAATATCACTAATTATAAGTTTTAACAGCAGTTTAACAAAAATCATCACAAAAAAATCAGTATTTTTAAACTTTCGGTGACAGTTTGAAAAATTTGTCATAAAACGTCACTAATTATAAGTTGGGTAAATTACACTGACACCCCCTGAAGTTTATATTTATTACAATTCTCCCTCACCTTTTAGAAATTACATCTCCCCCTTGAGGTTTAAAGTTTCATTACAGATTTCCCCTTTAACAATTTAATTTTTTTAAATACCATTTTTGCCCTCATTGGGTAAATTACATTGACACCTTCACATTTTAGAAATTACAATCCCCTCCCTAAGGTTTAAAGTAGCATTACCAATTACTCCTTTGGTTAGTATTAGTTAGAAAAAAAATTAATTGAAAAAAAAATTAATTGGAAAAAAATTTATTTGAAAAAAATATAATTGAAAAAAATTTTTGTTAGTAAAGCTTTTAAATTTCTGTTTAAAAACCAACGTAAGCTCAATTTTTTAATTTCCATTTTTTTCTCAAATTTATAAACCAAGACAACCATATATAAACCAAAAAAATTATGAAACAAATTTTTATGACAGTTTTAAAATTTTTTGTAAATATAAATTGAAAACGAAATGGTTACCAAACAGGCTTGATGGTAAAAATGTCATAAAATTAACAAATAATTAAATAAGTTACCAACATAAGAAATGACTTATCAAAAGATTCTTAGCCTATGTATGGTTTGATTTTTAGAGTTGTTTTTTAAAAATTAAAAATTAATTAGGTTAAGAAATAAAAAATAAATAATAATTATCATTTAAGGGTAAAAAATAATTATCATTAACTTTTGAGCAGGTTATATACATACATATAGCTGTTTCAATTTAATTTGTAAAAAAATATTTCTAACCACTCAAAAGATAAAAATTATATTTTTTATTTCTTAACCAAATTAATTTTTAATTTTTTAAAAAAATTCTAAAAATCAAACCATACATAGCCTAAGAATCTTTTGATAAGTCATTTCTTACGTTGGTAACTTATTTAATTATTTGCTAATTTTACGACATTTTACCATCAAGCCTGTTTAGTAACCATTTCGTTTTCAGTTTTCAATTTATATTTACAAAAATTTTAAAAACTGACATAAAAACTTGTTTGATAATTTTTTTGGTTTATAAATGGTTGTCTCAGTTTGTAAATTTGAGAAAAAAACGTAAAAATGAGCTTACTTGGTTTTTAAATAGAAATTTAAAAACTTTACTAACAAAAAAAATTTTCAATTAATTTAATTTTTTCAAATAATTTTTTTCCAATTAATTTTTTTTTTCAATGAATTTTTTTCCCAACAAATACTAACTAAGGGGCAATTGGTAATTCTACTTTAAACTTTGAGGAAGGGATTGTAATTTCTAAAATGTGAGGGGTGCCAATATAATTTACCCAATGAGGGCAAAATTGGCATTTAAAAAAATTAAATTGTTGAAGGGGAGAATCTGTAATGAAACTTTAAACCTTAAGGGGAGATGTAATTTCCTAAAGGTGAGGGAGAAACTGTAATAAGCATAAACCTCAGGGGGTGTCAGTGTAATTTACCCTTATAAGTTTTAGCTGTAATTTATAAAAATTGTGACAAAAAAATGTCACTAATTGTCAATTTTTAACAGCATATGCAAAAAATTATCACAAAAAATTATTTTTAATAATTATTTTACTATAATTTATTTTCAATAGAATTTGATAAAAATTAAGTCTAACTATTAAAACATATTTATAATGTACCCAAAAAAGGTAGTCACTTATACGTTTGGATTTAATTTTTTAAGAATGAAAGTAGATTTTTCCAAATGTGAAATTACGTATTTGGGCAATCCACATTACAGAGGTTTTGGATTTTTCAGCTTTTTTGAACAAATTTCACATTACGAACAAAAATATAACATTCTAGTGTAATACTCCAATGTAACATACTAAAAAAAAAAGTTAGTATGCTTTTTCCAAACGTAACACTCCAATATAGCATACAAAAAAACTTTTTAGTGTACTTTTTCCAAACGTAATACTCCAATTAATGCAATACTAAACATAACACTCTAATATAACGCACCAAAACTCCTTAATATACTTTTTCTAAGCGTAACACTAATAGTTTGAAATTAGGGTAAATTATAAACACACCCCCTGAGGTTTACTTAAATTACAAATTACCTCATGTGGTTCTAGAAGTTACATATGTCCCCTAAGATCCTTTTATCAATAAATTATTAAGTTAATTAACTGTTTTGAATAATGTTAAAATTTTATTTCAATTAATAATTCAGATAATTTTATTATTGTATAGTTGAACAGTTAGAAATTTCATCTTTTCAATTAATTT